GACAGAAAGAGCAACAGCAGGAAGGGCAGAGGGAGAGGGAGAGGGAGAGGGAGAAGCAGACTTCCCACCGAGCAGGGAAGCCCGATGCGGGGCTGGATCCCAAGACCCCAAGATCATGACATGAGCCGAAGGCATACGCTTAACTGACTGAGTCACCCACGTGCTCCTAAATATCCACTTTAAAATAACACAAAATAAACACTTACCCATGCGAATAAGTGAACATTCAGAACTTGAGCTAGCAGGCGGAGGACTAACATGATGTGTCAGCAATTCTTTATAATGGCTTTCATCTAAAATAACATGGTATGTGCCTAATTAGACAAAAAGTAAAAGAAAAATCACCTTTCCAGATATAAGTATCAATTGTAATTTTTCTTTCTTTTTTTTAAAAATTTTATTCTAAGTAATCTCTACACCCAGGCTCAAACTCACAACCCCAAGATCAAGAGTCGCACATTCTATCGACTGAGTTAGTCAGGAGCCCCTCAATTGTAATTCCTATGTAATTTTGTAAAAGTTTTGCCATCTGAAAATGTACATTTTCAAAATAAGTATTTAAGTTAAATTATCATTTTTCAAAAACCTCATTTAAATGACATCCCAAATTGACTTCTCTGGGAATAACTATAATTACAATTTAATTAAAGCCAATTGTAAGATCTTTACAAAGTATTACATACTAGTGAAATTTCTAGCATTTCAAGAGTTATTAACACTTCCTCTAAACACTGACATAACTACTGAAAAGTCCCTGCATTTTGAGATATCTTATAGAATCAATGATACATTTAAGATGACTATCCATATTATGGATTTCAGGACATGAAGTGATTTAAATTTAGTACCGTAAAAACAGATGAAAACATACTAATTAATAAATTGTTACTTCTTACAGAGTAATTATGAATAAATACTGAAGAATCTAGATACATACCACCAGTTTCACGAGCAAGTACAGTGCAAACCCGAACCTCTGCAGATAATCCGATAACAGACACTCTAATTTTAGCTGCCTTTAGGGTCTTCATAAAATCCATGTAAATAAAGGGTTTCAGGGGAAGGAAAAAAACATGCAAAAATTAGTATGTTTGAAAAACAGAATTTTCTGAAAACTAGTAATAAATTCACTATAGAATTCTCTTTACAGTCATAACTCTGGTTTTGATTATAAGGAAAGGTAGTGGTTCTACCTTGATTAGATCATAGATATTAGACGGATCACAAGTTGTGAGGCTGCTAAAGATGATTAGGACTTCTCTACTTGTATGTCCAGGCATGTGTCTACAGAAAGATAAAATATATTCCCATTAGGTATAACAAATTAATAAAAAATTTACCCAGACAAAATAGTACATGTAGTTTATATATTTAGACTATAGAATATCTCATTTGTTTTAACATTGCAAAGGAATGAATTGAGTATACTCTAAACATGTTAAATTTTTCTAAAATTAGCTACACAAAAAACTGATTCATTTATTGTTTCCATAAATATTTACTGAATACTCTTTTAGGTTCTAGGAACAGAGTAATAAGCAAGAATGAATGAGGTTCCTGACATCATGAAGCTTACAACCTAGTAGATTCGTTTTGTACAAAGTCTAACGTGTACACTGGAAAGTATGACAATACCATATGGATCAACTTTAAGGTGTGTCTTGACAATAGTAACATGCTTCTTTTTTAAAGGCTATAATTTAACCTCATGGTGATTCAGAGTGATAATATTCATAAACATTAATTTTTGTGTATCATTTAATTATACGATAATTTATTGGACTTTAGGACATGATGAACTATTTTCCCCTATCTAAATCTACGTAAATAGATTTCTATGCAATCTTAATCTATGCAATTTTATCAGCTATTTATAGCTTTCCTGCTTCTATCTGCACTGCTGGGCCTTCAGGTTTCATTTGTGGATGCTGCTCTTGTGCCTACCTCTAATGTGGGTGTTAGCTTCTTCTCACCTACTTCAAAACTAGAAAAATATCTATTATATAAAGCTATAAAAGTCAGGACAGACTATCCAGGGACAAAATATATGCGCTAGCACTAATGGAATATTTCCATTAGGGTCTCAGCTACCTTCCACATATTTGAACTTGCTGGAAGAGTATGCTCTTAATTTGCAGATGTGCTACAAAGTTAAGAGAAGTCAATAAATGTGCAAAAAACTCACAGTTATTATGCACATTCAATTTCATATACAATCTAATTTTTAACAAAATACTTTTTCATCAACATTTTATTTTGTACTAATACCGCTACAGTTTTAATTATATTTTTCTAAAACCTCTAAGAATCTATCTTACCAACTCAAATGTAAAATAAAAATTACAAACACCACACTAAACATCATAAACGACATTACATATTTCTCTTAATGGTTTCATTGCAGCTCAGTTTATGGAGAAACATACTGATATGTGTTCATCTCCATTCAAAAAAAATGGACACCAATTTAAATAAAAAATGTAAAATACCAACTTTAGAGTTTGCATAGCCATGCTTAAGGAGTTATAGAGGGATGGCTCTCCATGACAGGTCATATCTACAGCTTTCTTCAAAGATGTTACATGTTTCCTTGGGTTTCCTAAAATAGAAATGGCATAATCTACTTATAATAACATTTTATATATACATTATGGAAATTTGTTTCTCCCCATATTTACTTATCTATGTTGTTAAAGAATAGAATCTCTTTGATTTACATTTTTAGCAAGTTGCACTTTTATCAGAGGCGTTATATCAACTTTTACTTCATACTGAAAGAATAAAAATAATCTGTTTCTACGAACTAGCACATTTTTTTTTTTAACATTCTATTTATTTATTTGACAGAGAGAGAGGGAGCACAAGTAGGCAGAGCGGCAGGCAGAGGCAGAGGGAGAAGCAGGCTCCCCACTGAGCAGGGAGCCCAATGTGGGACTCAATCCCAGGACCCCGGGATCACGACCTGAGCCGAAGGCCGCCGCTTAACCTACTGAGCCACCCAGGCGCCCCACATTTTTTTTTTTTAACGTGGGGCTCGAACTCATGACCCCGAGACCAAGAGTTGCGTGCTCTACTGACTGAGCCTGCCAAGTGCCCTATTAGCACATATTTTAAATATTACTAACTTCAAGTGCAAAACTTTTTACATTTAAGACTCACACATTTTCACATTGTCACATCTCTTAAGTCACGCCGCGTCTCACCATCACTGGCAGCCAGGGAGCACCTGTGCGTCACACGTCACAGCCTGCTCCCACGTGACGTCACGGCCTGCTCCCACGTGACGTCACGGCCTGCTCCCACGTGACGTCACGGCCTGCTCCCACGTGACGTCACGGCCTGCTCCCACGTGAGCCTACTAATGGCTACTGCGGTGCTGTTCCAACTGCGCCTGTACATTGTTTGTGCTCTTCGTGGCTAGTTTCACTGCCATTTCAAGTGTTTCTACAAAAGGTTCTATTTTTATGTAGAAAGGCAAGGAACAGAGCAGTGAGGTATATATTATCAGTGAAGCAAAAATTCATTGATGGAAGAATGACTGCAATTCCCTATTTTTCTTCAGGGGATTAAAAAAAGAGCTTTAGGGGCGCCTGGGTGGCTCAGTCGGTTAAGCGGCTGCCTCCGGCTCAGGTCGTGATCCCAGAGTCCTGGGATCGAGCCCCACATCGGGCTCCCTGCTTGGCGGAGAGCCTGCTTCTCCCTTTCCCTCTGCCTGCTGCTCTGCCTACTTGTGCTCTCTATCTGTGTTAAATAAATAAAAATCTTTAAAATAAAAAAAAATTTTTTTAATTTAAAAAGGGATTTAGAAGACCTAAGAAAGGAAGATTTCCGCAAATAAATACAGCTGTATTATCTTCTGTTACTGAAATTACATCTGAAAAGATTGTCTATTGCTATTTTCTCATACCAAGCAATACATTTTTTGGTGTGAACAATTTATATATATCATCTGATACTGTATCAAATTTTAACTGCTAGGGTGTTTCCTTCTTGATAGCTGATAAAACAAAGGTATCTTACAAATGATGCAATCTTAGATTCAATGACATACGGTATTCTTCTGACATCTTCTCCTATTTCAACACCTTCTTCATGTTAATTAATGATAATCAAAATATCATTAAATTGTTTGATTACATAATTCACCAAACTACTTCCATACCGTTGAACATGTCTTCCCAATTTGTCACTACTGTTAACGAAGACTGTATTTGTAGAATGAGGCTTTTTCTTCTTTCATAATGTTTCTTAAGTATAAATTCCAAGGAACAACCATTTTTATATCTTTTCCCAAAAATGTTAAATAAATTAATCAGCCTATCAGCACTATAGGTACCAGTTTCTCCATGGTTCCACAAGCAATATACTGCTTTTTAAACTTCATTTTGTTCATTTAAAATATATAAAATAATAAAATGTTGTTGTGTGGTGGTGTTTTTTGACCACTTGTTTGGCTAAAATTTCTTTTTTAATAGCTATTTCGTTTCTCTTTTTATTCTGGTATGAATTATCTGTTGTCTTTGTCCATTCATCTACTTATAGCTTCTTCGTGTTCTTATTTATCTAAGTTTTAAAATACTAAGCATTTGCCATTATTTAATACATATTTCAAGTATTTATTTAGTCTCGGAATCCTAAGATTTTAGAAATGAAAAGTACATCACTAAGTCCAAATCCCTCATTTCATAAGTGAAAAATGAATCTAACAAGCTAAAAGATTTGCCTAAAGACAAATACCTACCCAGTGGCAGGACCAGCACTTAAACCTACATCTCCTGGCTCTCTATCCACTTCTCTTTCTACCATACCATACAAAATAGTTTGTTCACCTCCTATTGTATTGTGAGTATAGGAAAAAAGCGAACTCGATTACTGTCAGTGTGGTTTACAGCAGTGATTCTGATCAGACAGACAAGGAGTGCCATCAAGAGGCCTATCAAAATATCCAGAGGATTTTTCATCCCTATATGTATGACTTCTCTGGCACCCATAGAAAACTACTCTGAACGTGAGAAGGGTGCCAAGAGGGTCCTACGTCCTTTCCCAGGAGAAACCATCCTGTCCTCACAGTATAACAAACCAGCTGCTTACCCTGCTTCCATCCTGCTCCAGGAACAGGCATGTAATCCAGGCCTACCAACACAATACTTCATTCCTCTGGCCACTTTGCTCATGGGTGGGCAAATCAGAAGCAGGGTCATTCCGAGACCTCTGTGGGACTTGTGCTGAAGCTACAGACTATGAGGGTCATGGAGACTCAGGGCTAGTAACAGACATCTTTTCACCTCACTTCAGAGAGTAAAGCCAAACAGAGCCAGGAACCCTGGAAACTACCATGTGTGAAATCAGCCCTCCTTTAGATGGGAGTCAATAATTTCCCTTGTATGCTAAAGCTAGTTTGAGATTTTTTTGGTTACTCATAACTGAATTTCTTGATCACTCCAGGCTAACATACATTTCACTCCTTACTGCCACAGTGAAAAACTATTAATGATGAAAATATGTCATTTCAAATTTATCTGTATTGGTAAGGATGAAAGGATGAGAACCACATTTAAGGGATAGTGTATTTCACAGAAATTAAAATAGAATTAGTGATGTGAATTTGTTAAAACAGCACCAAAGCAAATAAAACCTGCACTATCTTTTAACAGAATAAAATTCAGTTAGACATGTCATGTAAGCAGAAAAACTGAATTATTAATAATAACTGCAATTCAATTTTTAAATCCTTTGCTCTTTAGAGGTTTAACTTTTAAAAAATTAATTTTAAGACTAAGTGGATTTTTGGAATGGTTACAGTAATTTTATCTTAATACTTTCAGGATAAGAATGTATAAGTCTTAAATAAACATTTACATTCATTGCAGTAGTATTCATTACCGTACAGAACTCAATTTAAAAACTTAGATACCAAGAGTTTACTGGAGGATTTAATCGAGGGGTTATTAAGTGTTTCACATGTAGAGCATAAAAGAAGTCTTCATTTTACTTATTAGGCAACCTTATGAACAGGGTTACAAGGTTGAGTAAATAGAGCCAAGTCCTTGAGTCCTATAAAGGTAATTTTATGCATACCTGAGAGTTCGGTCAGTTTTTCAGCTCTTTTACTCTTTGTTACAATTATTCCAATCTCAAAATAAAAACAAAAATGATTATTAACTTAACAAATTACTTCTTCTTCATAAGAATGTACATAATGAAAATAAATTAGTAATTACAAAAGACATAAGTAACATACGAGAAGCTTTTTCTCATGATGCTTTTGACAGAACTTTAGCTATGAGTTTACTGTACATTATTTAACTTTTAGAGTTGCCTTGCTTGTCACTGATAAGTGTACCAGAAACTGGTACACAATCTGGATCACTTAATAATTCACAGAATGTATGCCCAGCGTTTTAAAAATAAATTAGAATTGGCAGTAATATCAGGAATCTAAATCTGAATTCCATCACTTATCTACATACCTGACTAATAGGATTTTGATCAAAATATTCTTCTACGAAGTATTCCAATAACTGTTTAAAGAAAACAAAAATACTAGATAAGGGCAAAATAATAACCATAAAGAAATGTTTTGTGAAACCTATTTATCAAGCATCACTTCTCTTGAGATTTTTAGGCTCATAGATTTTCAAATATATTTAGTAAAATATTTTCAAATATTTTAGTAAAAATGTTAAATAAACAAAAATAAATTTTAAAATATTCAAATAAATAAAAATCACAGTATTAAATAAGCCTGAATTTAAAATGGTAAGTGATGAACTGGGTTTAACAGATAGAACCAGGGCGCTGGGTGACTCAGTTGATTAAGGGTCCGACTCTTGATTTTGGCTCAGATAGTGATCTCAGGGTCATGAGATTGAGCCCCAAGTCAGGTTCGGTGCTCAGTGGGGAGTCTGCTGGAGATTCTGTCGGCCCCTCCCCCACACCCTGGCACATGTGCTCTCTCTAATAAATAAATCTTCGAAAAATAAAAAGATAAATAAAAGATGGAACCATTTGGACTTGTGAGACAGATGTAATCTAAACATGGAAAGATCCTATGAAGCCAGAAACAAGAGAATGAGCATAACCGAGGATGGGTTTTAATAAATTACAAATAATCTGAATGTGTTTATAAACTGGGCGGAATGATCTAAGTCCAAAGACAATGAAAAGGGATAACTGACAAAGCAAGACCCTGACTGGGGTGGGAGGACAGAAATTAAGAGCATAAATATTAGTCATTTTGTTGGATCATTTTCCTAAATGATGTGACTGAACTTCTACTTAGCTATAGTTTGTATTACAAACTCAAAAAAATGCATTCTTTAAAAAAATTTCTTCATGGGAATGTATAGTATTTATTCAAGGGAAGAAAGTAGACAAAAAAAAAGAACTATGACCAAGTCCTAGGGCATTCCAGCATTTCAAAGTGGGAGAGGGGAGCCTAAGACGAAATAAAAAGACTACATGTAATGAAAGTCAAAAGAAGGATGTGTGGGGTGCCTGGCTAGCTCAGTCCTTAGAGTGTGGGAATCTTGATCATGAGGTCGTGAGTTCGAGCCCCACATCAGGGGTACAGAATTCTTTAAAAAAAAACAAAAAAACAAAAACAAACAAACAAAAAGAACAAAAAAAGAATGCCTTTCAGGAAGGACTGAGTGTCAACTATTTCAGTTGCTGCTAAAGATAAAAAGGAGTTGAGTTTCACATCCTGGAGGTTATGGTGGACCTTGAAAATGTAGTTGTGAAGGTACCATTCCAACTGGAGTGTGTTAAAGAGAGAATGCTGTGGACATTCAACTGTGGAGAGTGGATCAGTACTGTAATAAATACACACACATTCACCAATAGAGAAGATAAAGGACAAATCTAATCTAGTAAATTTAGAAAACTTATGTACAAGAAAAGGAACGGAGGATTCTGGAGCAGAATTGAGTCCAGCAGTATGATTCAGCATCTACTTCATCCTACTCCTCTGAAGTCCCATTCATGACTGAAAAAAGTCCTGGGAAATTTCGCTAATACTCTTGCTTTGGGAAAGAAGTGAAGAGAGAGAGTATTGTTATCTTTTTCCTCTTCTACCAGAAGTTATGAATGAATAGGGAAAGAAATCAAGAACTAACCCTCCTTTCAGAAGAGAAGAATCCAAGCTTCACACTTAATTGAGGGAAAGAGTTCCAAGGCTGGGAATATCTCCTCATGGAAATGCATTATATCCTCCCTCCCCTGCCCAGTTAGTTAAACAAGATACAGGAGAGTTAATATAATCTCAGAAGATAAAATGAACCCCTGTAAATCCAGCAGTCTGCACACCACCCAAGCTGAGCTTCACCCCTTTGGTGCACACCATTTCATCCCAGCTGCTATTCTTAGGCCACAGAAAAGTGGATAAAACATAAACTACCCAAGCTAAAATCAAGCTTTAGAAGGGAAAACATCCTCCACACAAAAACCTGTTCACAGATGTTCCCAGCAGTATTATTCATAAAAGGCCCCCAAAAGTGGAAACAACCCAAAGTTGTATACAATGGAACACTGTTTGGCAAAACTACAGAAAATTTGCTTCTGTTTTCCTTTCTTTTTTTTTTTTTAAAGTTTTATTTATTTAAGTAATCTCTGCATGCAACATGGGGCTCAAAATTACAACCCTGAGATCAAGAGTCGCACACTCCTCTGACTGAGCCAGTCAGGTATCCCTGGGTTTTCTTTTTGTAATGATAAAAATGCTCTAAAACTGACTGTGGTAATAATGTTGCACAACTCTGTAACAGGCAAAAAATTTTAACAGTATATTTTAAGTAAGTTGATTTTATGGTATGTGAATTATATCTTAATAAAGATGTTATAGTAAAAAATTTTTTTTTTTTTTAGAATTCAGTGTCCTTTCTCACGTTTAGTATAAATTAAAATGATTTTACTATACCTTTAAAGTACAAGTCAGTCTATTTGGCTTTAAATCTTGGTCTTCCATTGTTCTTGATCCATCTACTACCACATAAAGATGACGCATCTACCAAAAATAAACCACAAATATAACAATTTTCAAATTCATTTTTGACCAAGAAGTAAAAATGGCATTTAGTATTTACATATTTTACACATATATATGTATATATATTTTTTAAGATTTTATTTATTTATTTGAGAGAGAGAGAATGAGAGAGAGAACATGAGAGGGGGGAGGGTCAGAGGGAGAAGCAGACTCCCCGCTGAGCAGGGAGCCCGATGTGGGACTCTATCCTGGGACTCCAGGATCATGACCTGAGCCGAAGGCAGACGCTTAACCACCTGAGCCACCCAAGTGCCCATACACATATATTTTTAATATATTCTTCTAAAACATTTGTTGTCTTACTGTTATTAATTCTGTCAAGACAGAATGCTTCTCTAACCCAACTAGTTCTGTACTGGTAAAGAAAAAAAATGTCAACATACCATTCCAAGTCGAACTTGTCCATGGTGCTCAAATACTCTGTTAAAATTATGCAAACATTTTAATGGAATGTCCTCTATTACCCAAAAAATCAATATAACTTTTCAACTAACCTGCATTTTCTAGTGAAGTAAATTATTAACTTATGGGGTTCACATAATTACAGGTATTTTGGACAGTCCCTGAAGACCCATTTCCCTTCTGAAGTGCTAGGTTGCTGGTTCCTTCCCCCTACTCAAGAGTTTAAAGGTCAGTTTTTCTGGAATACAGCTGAAATGAAGTACTGAGGAGTGGGTATAGGTGGACAGAAAGGCTTAAAGGAATCTATTTTATCTTTTGTAACACACCTACAAAAAGTTTACATACCTTTTTCTCTTTGCTTTGAAGAGAATGTCTTCTATCGTAGCTTTAAGTGATCCTGACTCATCTTCTTTAAGAATCTCCCTATAAGCAATATTTACTTGTTTGAAAAGCTAAAATTTTATTAACCCAAAAGAAATGAAAACATATGTCCACACAGAGATCTGCACATGAATGTTCACAGCTGCATTATTCATAAAAGCCAAAAAGTATAATCAATCTAAATGTCCATCAATTGATGAATGAATGAATGAAAACATGGTATACAACATAATGCTATTCAGTAATAAAAAGGAATGAATTACTGATCCCTGCTACAACATGGATGAACCTTGAAAATACTGTTGTATGAAAGCGAGACAATACTGACCACATATTATAAGATTACATATACATGAAATACCCAAAAAGGCAAATGCATAGAGACAAAAAGTAGATTAGCAGTTGCCTACAGCTGGAGGTAGGAATGAAGTTAATTGCAAATGGGCATGAAGTATCTTTTTTTTAAATTTTTTTTTTAAAGATTTTATTTATTTGACAGCGAGAGAAAGAGAGAGATCACAAGGAGGCAGACAGGCAGGCAGAGGGAGAGGGAGAAGCAGGCTCCCCGCTGAGCACAGAGCCTGATGCGGGGCTCAATCCCAGGATGCTGGGATCATGACCTGAGCCTAAGGCAGACGCTTAACGGACTGAGCCACCCAGGCGTCCCTGGGCATGAAGGATCTTAATGGGGTGGTGAAAATTTTCTAAAACTGATTTATGGTGATGATTGCACAACTCAGTAAATCTTCTAAAAATCAATGAATTATAAGATGGAAACAGGTGAATTTTAACATGCGTTAAATATACTTTAATAAATTTAAAAAACCAATCACTGAACAAGAAGAGAGATAAAGGTGTAGAAGAACAGTAAGAAATAATGTGTAAACGAGAAGGGAGTCATAATGCCCTACTCACCATGTCCTTTCATAGCCTCCTTCCCATCGCTTAGTTCTTTCAGGTTCTTCATCCATTTTTTCCTTAAATGTATTATTCAGTATCCTGTAAAAGTCACTGAGTGTGAATTTTCTAAAAATATCTGGCACAAAATTCATACATTTAAATGTGAAAAGTAAAGAGAGGGAAGCAAACATACAAAGTAAGAAACAGAGAATGCAAGGTCATCTAATTCTTTGCAATTTATTTAATAATTGTTGTTGAATGAAAATACTTCACAAAATCCTCATGGAACTCTTTTTCCTGTCCGTAAGAAAAAATATAAACGTTTACGCACAAGTTTGGCACCAAGAGAGATAAGCATCTTTTTACAAATTTTTTAAAAGTTTTTTTAAAGATTTTTATTTATTTGTCAGAGAGAGAGCAAGCACACAAACAGGGGGAATGGCAGACTCCCCACTGAGCAAGGAGCCCGAAGTGGGACTCGATCCCAGGACCCTGGGATCATGACCTGAGCCAAAGGCAGACGCTTAATGACTGAGTCACCCAGGAGCCCCTCTTTTTACAATTTTTTTTTAAAGATTTTATTTATTTATTTGACCGAGACAGAGATAGCAAGAGCAGGAACACAAGCAGCGGGAGTGGGAGAGGGAGAAGCAGGCCTCCCCCTGAGGAGAGAGCCCGATGTGGGACTCGATCCCAGGACCCTGGGATCATGACCTGAGCCAAAGGCAGACGCTTAACGACTGAGCCACCCAGGTGCCCTCTTTTTACAATTTTTAAAAACAAAAATGCATTATAGTCATAGGACAAGACCACAGAACTATGGAAAGTGAGTAAAGGTATAGATGAAACAAGATTAGCTACAAATGATGGTTATTATTACAGCTGGGTGATGGATCATGGTGATTCACTGTACTACCTGTCCACCTTTCTATATGTGTGTGAATTTTCTTATAATAAAAAAAAATCTGGGGCACCTGGGTGGCTCAGTCGTTAAGCGGCTGCCTTCGGCTCAGGTCATGATCCCAGGATCCTGGGAACGAGCCCCCCATCAGGCTCCCTGCTCCGCGGGAAGCCTGCTTCTCCCTCCCCTACCCCCCCACTTGTGTTCCTGCTCTCGCTATCTCTCTCTCTGTCAAATAAATAAAAATAAAATCTTTAAAAAAATTTTTTTTTTAAGTAAGCTCTATGCTCAAAGTGGGGCTCAAACTCACAACCCGGAGACCAAGAGTCACATGCTCTACTGACTGAGCCAGCTAGGTGTCCCATCACAATCATGAGTTTTAAAATGAAAATTATTATTTATAAATGGTAAATGCTTATAGCTCATAACTCAAAAAAGGACACAATATTAAATGTATATTATGATCTCAACTATTAAAAAAAGAAAAAGGAAATGTTCAGTAATTCAATACAACACGGTTTCATCTAGATGAAGGGTGACTGGTTTTTTGTTTTATTACTTTCTGTATTTTCGTATTTTTCATATGAACATGTATTTCTTTAATAATCAGGGATAGGGCGCCTGGGTGGCTCAGTTGGTTAAGCGACTGCCTTCGGCTCAGGTCATGATCCTGGAGTCCCGGGATCGAGTCCCGCATCGGGCTCCCTGCTCAGCACGGAGTCTGCTTCTCCCTCTGACCTTCCTCCTTCTCATGCTCTCTGTCTCTCATTCTCTCTCTCTAATAAATAAATAAAATCTTAAAAAAAAAAAAATAATCAGGGATAAAACTGGTGGTGGGGGAAATCTATTAACCAGAGCCAAGTAATAAACATTCTAGTCACATCTACACTTCCATCCTCCCAAATGGAATCTCCCTCCCCATCCTATGCTCTCACTTCCTTCAGCTTCCTTCTTCCATATATGATCAAAGCAATCATAAGGGCCAAGAAGACGTTAAGGACAAAACAAATCCCATCACTGACAGGAGCAAAAATTAATTTCTGTAATAAGGACCATAAGCAAGACCTTACCCTCCACCTACATCATGATTTTCTATAGAAAAATATATTTTAAAATCTGAAGAACTGACTTATAAATGGACTTTTGGAATGAAACTCTACTAACAAGTTGGAGACTGCTTTCATGGCATCACTGCTTTCTGTGGCACCTGCTATAATCAGGTATTATTTGCTAAAGTTCTGTATCTCTCACTGAATTAACAAACCATTCCCTGGCATTGGAAGAAATCTATTTGTTTCAGGAAATCTGGTGATCTACTTTAGTATATACTTCGGTAGATTGCCTGAAGTAATGACAAGTGACTTAATTCTAACATTTGTGTTATTTCAACACACTGTGCTGGTGCTTGTAAGTTTAATGATGAGTGCAGGAAGAGGATATGGTGATTAAATGAACTTTTTGATCCTCCATGAAAGTTTCTGTATTTACTGTGAATTACAAAAATCAAAGCTTACATAGTGTTCTTGATGTTTTTAAACTTAAATTCTTACAAAGTCACTACTGCCATCCAACATATCAATATTTACACTGCTATTTTATTCTTAGTTTATTATTTTAATTTTCTTAAAGTTCAGAAACACAGTGAGAACTGATGAGCAGAAACTGCAAAGAGGAACACTTCTGGCTCACTTCATCCAAGGACTTCCTAATTAGAGCTGACTGCAATGGGAAATTACAGGGATAGGACAGAGGTATTAAGCTCCCATAACTACAGATGTTCCAAGGGAAGTTGGAAGTTTATAATGCATGTTATTAATAGGGAAGTTACGCATCTTCGAGAAAGATGTAGTTGGTGACCTCTTAGGTCCGTATCTCCAAAAGCTGATCCGTTTCCTGAGACTCCAACTCCAGAAAAGCCACTGTACCTAGCGTCAGGCTGTTGCTGTGATTCCTGTCACATGAGCTCAGAATGCTACTGCAAACAAACGAGATCTGCACCAAACATCGCAATTTATGAAGGTTTTATTCACACCTTACCCTGCCAAGCGCTATTAGACATGGGTGATCACTATCCTGTTTTCATACATGGAACTCGAGGCTCAAAAGGCCGATAACGCTCTCGAGGTCACACAGCTGGAGGCAATCAAACTCGAACCCAAGACCACAACTCCCAAAACTCGCGTTCTGCTTTAGGGAAGGAGAGCCATTCCCTGGACTGCAGCCCTAGATGGTTCTATGCAGCTAAGAGACGGAAGTTGCCCTCCTCCCCCTTCACACGCTCCCTCCCACCCTCAACCCACAATGCACAAGAGGCTGGTCGGCCCCCTTCAGCCTCCGCCCCCCACCCCCCGTCGCGCCGCGAAGGCCCCTCCTCGCTGCCGTGCTCCCCAGACGGTCGGTCCCCACCTTCGCTCAGCGAGGAGCTCTACCCACGGACTCACCGGTCTCGTAGGACGCCGCTCTACCCGGAAGCTCCGTCCAGTCGGCTCCAAGGCCTCGGCGGAAGTCCTTCCCCTGCGCGCGGCGGCGACGCACAAACGTTCCGGTTGCTGCGAGCGTCGGTCGCTGGAGCAGGGCGCTCGGGGGCCGGGCGTCCCAGAAGCTGATGAGGGTGCGAGAAGGAGCCTCTTGCCCCGCTTTCAGCCATTGTTCACAAAAAGGCGGGAAAAGTGCGGGAAAAGTGATCTCTGTTCAGCCGGGTAGCCATCGACCTGGGATCTTAGCTAAGAGCTTGAATTTTGTGTATTATTTCTATAAGGTTGGCATGAAGGACTGATTGCAGCAGCGGCAACTAAGCCAGAACCTTGCGGTGCAAGAGTTTTCTGGGACTGCTCCGCTGCTCCTGTTCATGCAGCAAGTATTATTGGGCACCTGCTTTTTACGGTTCTAAGCACTGAGTAAATAGTAATTAAAAACTAATCCCTGGGGGCGCCTGGGTGGCTCAGATGGTTAAGCGTCTGCCTTCGGCTCAGGTCATGATCCCAGAGGCCTGGGATCGAGTCCCACATCGGGCTCCCGGCTCAGCGGGGAGCCTGCTTCTCCCTCTGACCCTCTCCCCTCTCATGCTGTTTCTCTCTCGCTCGCTCTCTAAAAAATAAATTTAAAAAATCTTAAAAAAAAAAAACAACTAATCCCTGCCCACCCCCCCCCGCCCCCGTGGAATTCTTCTACTATGAATACATTTATCGAGAAAAACATACTGTATCAAATGGTGATAGTGCAAAGAGAAAAATTAAGCATGGAAGGGGAACATGGTCCCAGCTTAACATAGTGTAGTCCGAGGAGTCCTCACTGACAGTTGAGCCATGACCGGAATGAGGAAGGGAGTTAACCATACTTCTACCTAGGGCAAGACCTCCCGAGGCAAAGGGAACCACAAGGGCTAAGGCCCTGAGGTGGAAACCCATCCATGTGTTTCTGGGACTGCATGAGAAAACGGGTTGAGTGATAGCTGCTGAAATCGGCCATGGGCTCTGAACATTTTAGTAACTTTGGAGGAATGATAGGACGGTCGAGGATAGTATGGCAGTGCAGCTAGTGAGAAGGGTTGGATTCTAGATCTTGTCGATACCAGATGTGTGTTAGGAAAAAAGATCCAATGACCCAAAAGTTCTCAGCTGAGCAACTGAAAGGTTAGAGCTGCAATTTCTGAGAGAATGGGGGGTGATAAGATCTGTTCAGTTTTGGACAAGTTTGAGATGCTTGAGATGCCTGCTAATACATATGGAAATAGTAGTGTGCATGAAAACTGCAGTGCCTTAAAATAGGCTAAAGATGTCAGCCTTCTGTGACTGTCTGAGGTGACCTCAAGCGGAAACCAAAAACAAGAAGTGGAAACCAGTTAGGCAGAGGTCTGCAGGCAATATTTTTTAACAAATATGATAGAAACAGTGTATTAAGATGACCCAAGCGTTTTTCACACGTCTATGTGTAAATCAGTGAAGCTGAATTTTTACAACGGAACTGATTGTACCTTGTGACACATAATCATAATTAGAGAACTGCTTGCAAGCACATCTACCCCTTCCCGCTTTTGCGTATATAACCCCCTGTGAAGCTAAGTTTCAGAGCAGTTCTGAGCAATCTGAAATACTGTTTCCTGGGTGATAGTCCTCAGTAAGACAACAAATAATGCATTTACTAACCTACTTGGAGGTTGGTTTTTTTTTTTTTTTTAGACGACATTAAGCATTTCCCACACTTGAGAAATGGAGATGCAAGGTCCAGCCAGAGCATCAGAAAAAGCTTACATCCACGAGAGGAACAGTGGGAAGGAACTGCAGGAACTGGAGCTTCTTTATTTCCCCATCAGCATACGCTCCCCCGCTCTGTTGCCTATATTGCTTTGTTGGTACCAACATCTTCCCTTGTGTTCTGCCCCCTCAAAAACATAAACACAAGCCATGCTGCATGATACCGGAAAGAAAAGACCTGTATTTAAAACCAGGCTCTGGGGCGCCTGGGTGGCTCAGTTGGTTAAGCGACTGCCTTCGGCTCAGGTCATGATCCTGGAGTCC